ATAAATAAATAAATTTTAAAAAAACAAAAACAAAAAAAACTGCTGCAGCAGGGCTGGGCAGCAGGGCCAGACTCAAGGGCTGCTCAGGAAGTGGAGTGGTCAAACATAGCTTTGTAGGGTATGGGGAGGGAGCAGAACAGACAGGATTTCCGGCAGAAGTGACTTGACTCAGCCGGGGGTCAACACCCCAAGACAACTAGTACATCTTTGCTGTGTGCTAAGTGGATAATGTTGGACCCAGGCCACAAATAAAGGCACAAGGATTTGGAGAACAGGGATCATTATACTTCCTTTTAAAAACCCTATGACCTTAAACTTCATCCCCAAGCAAGGTGGGGATGAGCTCCCCCCTCCAGCCTACTGTCCACGCGAACTCAACTCTGAGGATGCTCCTGCCTGGCCCTCTACCATCTCTCCCCAGCCCTTCTTCTTTCATCTTTCCTCCTCCCCTGCCAGCTACCCTCCCCTACCCAGGCATTGCATGCACAGCACAGAGCGAGGGTTACCAATGAGACATTCTGCATGTTGGCAAACCATTCCCCACGGAAGCGCTTCTGCAGGTTCTTCAGGATGGCCACCATCTTCTGTCTTACACCTCCAATCCAAAAACAGCAGTTAGAGGGGCTGAGCTTAATAGAAGGAGCACACACTCCTCTCTTTCCCCTCCAAACCTCAGAGCGATCAATGGAACTAAGTGGGTGACATAATGTTTACCCAGCAGCACTGGCCGTGCTCCCTAGCGCAAGAGCACTGGGTAATAGGGGGACATGGCTGGGGCCTCGGTCTGCCCGCTCCCGGCTGCCGCTCCTGCACGCACCAGAACATGCACTGCTCCCACCCCTGGGTGTGAACACCGCACAAACCCATCAGATCACAAAGGGCCAGCGTCTCTGAAGCTGCCTTTGGATACTGCAAATTCCCTGGCACCGAGATATATGCTGCTGTCTATATTTTTGGTTTTCCTGGGGCAAAAGGAGCTAGATCAAAGATTCTCGGATCTCTTCCCAGTGAAAGGATGCTTATTTCCAGTAGGGATGGATAGCTGGGAAATCCTGAGGGTCCAAATGGTGCTACCAGCTTAGCAGTCCCCCTTGCCCCCGAGAATTCCTTTAATAATGACATTGTCTCAGTGGTGGGGTTGAAGCTCATCTGGATAAAGTTTCCAGATCTACTTGTAATTGTTCAGCTGGGCTCCTGGGTGTTGGGGCACCCTGGCATATTGACTCCAGGGCCCCTCCCAGGAGGGAATGTGACACGGCATGGACACCCAGCACACTATGCTTGCTCACTCCCATTATTCAGTGGGTCCCCGGGACTGCAGACAGACAAGCATTTGGGCTCAGAGCACTTACTTCTCTGAAGCACAAGGATTTTGGACAAGTAATGCAAAGCCTCTGATGCCCCCAGGCTGATCTCATGGTTGGAGTTCAAGCAGAGGAGGCCCAGGATGCCCATCAGCTTCCCATTCATGGAGAACATCTCCATGTGCTGCCAGGAAGGGGACACTGGTTACCTCTCCCCATCCTAGAAGGTACTTTTCCCTCAGGCCCGACCTCTGTTCCCCTCCACCACCATGAAGTCATTTGCCTACATGTGTCCCCTCCCCTGCCTGAGTTCACATTCCTCTGGCCCGGAGGAACCTTCCTAAGCAGCACCCAGGGGGAAGAGGGCAATGAGACCTCTAAATCAATTAGTGGTAAGAACTAGGGCCCCAGTCTGGCGGTCTTCAGCAAGCTGAATATGTCTGGCATGGGAGCTCGCAAGGCCACTGAAAAACATGCAGACAAGTCAGATCTCCTGTCTCACAGGAACAGAAAACATCTGTATGCAGAAGAAGGGGGCAGCACCTGAACACCCATCCCCTGGGTTTGACCTGCTGTGCTCCATCCAGTGCCCCTTGATCAGGTGACCCTCGAGTAGAAATGCAGGGCATGCCAGGCCAGCACTCACCAGCAGCGTGGAGAAATTGCAAACAAACCGCAGCAACCGGGAAATGGTGACCAAGGCCCGAGTGTGCTCATGCACCTTGTTGGAATGCGTTAACCAAGGCAAGATGATCTGCACAGGAACAAAGAGACTGTCAACACTTACTTTGCTGTAGCTGTGGTCCTTGCCTTCTGTGTCCAGATTCTGCATCCCTGTTTGCCAATAAACAAGAGCTGCAGCTGGCACCAGAATGCATGAACCTGGGAATCTGGCAAAGCAGTGCTGTTTTTGAGTCTCTGGCACCTAGTGTGGTACGTTCAGAGTCTCTTCCTGCGGCAGTGATTAAAGATGGTGCCATTCCTTCCAGGTAGAATTACAAAGCAGAGCAAGGAACGGAGGCAGGAGATAGAGTGGTAGGGATTTCTCAGCAGCATAGCTGGCCCAACCCCTACCTGCTAGGCCAAGGGAAGGGGTTCTGGAGATTAATAACAATAGCTATGGGAAGTGATGTACACCTGAAATTCTGCCTACTTGGGAAGCTGAGGCAGGAGGACTGCAATTTGAGGATAGCGTGGACAACTTAGTGAACCCCATCTCAGTAAGTAAAAAGGGCTAGGAATGCAGCTCAGTAGTAGAGGCCTTGGCTAGTATGTAGGAGGAGGACCTGGGTTCAGTCTCTCCAGTATTACTAAAAAAAAAAAAAAAGCCATGGGGGACTTGGAGGGCAAATGATAAACTTGCTTTATAGCTGATTGTGCTTATGGTTGTATGACTGATGTATTTGTCAAAACCTGCTGAACTATTCCCTAAAAGTGAATTGAACTGTATATAAATTATGCCATCATTTTTTAGAATGAAAATAAAAGAAAGTCCTTAGGAAAGCTATACAGTCTTCAAATAGTTTTTCCCAAACAATCCTCTTTCTGATCCAGCTGTGTGCAACCAAGTATGAAATAAATGGTATCACATCATCATGTAATTTTGTAGGAAAAATTATGTCTATAATATGTGCATTGGATTTTTTTTTTTTTGTTTTAAAAATTGTCAGCAGGGGCTGGTGAGATGGCTCAGTGGTCTAAAGCACCT